ATTCCCGAGTTGGCAACTTGAAGAAATTTTTGGCGGGCCCGTGCGTGAGCGCCACGCATACCGGGAGTCTGGGTTTGAGCTCAATGAGACATAGGTGGACGGGGGATATCCTCTTAAAACTACAGTCTTTTAGCTTTTCGAATTCTCGAGCTAGCAGTTATCCGCAGAAAACTTTCAGAGGCCCGTAAGTGGTACCACGCGAGTAAGAGCGCCCATTTTGGGGATTGAGGCCCGTCTGTCCATGTAGATTAAGTTCACAAAGTTTCAGCCCTGTAGCTTTTGTAGGTCTCGAGATGAACCAAGGCTGGAAAGCATCAGGCGGGCCGGTGCGATTATGCGTTTTTACACTTTCCGTGGCGTAGCAAGATCGCAAGGAATCACAGTAGCTAACCCTGTGACATACTGGCCTTCGAAGTTCGGAAAGTTAATTGTGCAAATATGTGGTATGTCAGTTGTAGATGTCGACTCCAATGACGCGACAAATGGAAAGTTTCTGGTCCGCAAAAAAGGCCGCACTAGAAAAGTTAAATTTGAAATCGTTTAGCTGTACATGAATAGGGAACATTCCCTCAAAATTAAAGCCTTCAGCTTTTCTCGTTCCCGAGTTAGCAATTTTCCCATCAAAATTTTCACGTGTCCGCACGTGAATACCGGATGGTTTTAAGGAGCTAAATTTGAAATTTTTTTGTCATACACAAGTAGGGGACATTCCCCTAAGGTTTCAGCTTTCTAGCTTTTCTCGTTCCCGAGTTATCAGTTTTCCCGCCAATACTTCCACGTGCTCCTACGCTGGGCCCAGACGTGCGTGAGAGTTGATACCGCTGTCCTGGGGTAGCATTTAGCTGGGGAACACACTGGCAAAATTTCAGCTTCAAAGCTTGCGTGGTTGGCGAGTTGAAATACTTGGACGGACAGACAGATACACACACACTCACATACAAACATACACTCAGTAACAGGATCGTTGCAATATGCGTTTTTGCTGCCTGTTGCAGCGCTGCGCTACACGGCAAAAACGCATAAAAACCGTGACAAACGCCCACACGGACACAAAGACACACACACACACAGACAGCCCCTCGTAAATATGCGTTTTCTGTATTGCATATCTGCAAAAAACGCATTTAAAAATAGAAACCATCTGTTCACAAAAACGCGTATTTCACGCGTTTTTTGGTGACTTTTGAACGGTAGACCACAGCACATGCAACGCAATAATATTGGAACATCTGGACTCCGTATGGTAAGATCACATTACATTCCAACCCATACGCAACATTTAAAATTCTTTTCTCTCTCCTCCTTATTAGCGGAATAAAGAAAGACAGCTTATTAAATTCATCAATCTACTAAAAGAACTCGTCTCTCGCCAGTCCGCATTTTTTTTTTTTTTTTTTTTTTTTTTTTTTTTTTTTTTTTTTTTTT